ACGTTATCATCAATATGAGTATTATTTAAATCCATTGTAAAATTATTTTGAGAACTGAAATAAATTAAAAGTTTAGCTTTTTGTTAGGCTTACGGTTCAAAATATAGCTTATCTACAAATGCATATTACCAACATTTAATGAGAAACACTTTTATGACTAATTAAAATAACTAAATAAATAAGTACAATATATTAAACAATATAAATAAAAATTATGTTAATAATGTATTCTTCTAAGAGATACAACTAGATTATTCTAGGAGACTAATACATCATAATTTACCCATAAAGGTACCTTGCAAGTAAAATATAATACAAAATAATAAAATAGATAATTACTCTTCATTAGATATTTGATTTATTAATTGAATTATCTGTATTGGATTTAGCGTTCCTTTTCTGTTGAATTAAAATGTTATAAATTTTAGTGAAACAAAAATTAAAAAATATGATATGAAAAAAATTTACTCTAAAGCCTTTAGGAAATATATCAATTTTTCTAGTTGAAATAATGCCGTTTCCATTTTTTTCTTATTTGAGAGATGCAGTTGAGGATCAAATGGGGTATCACATACTTGACACACATTGTTCTTGTTGGCATTCAAACACTCAATACAAATTTTGTGATGACATAAACACGAAATCTTCCACTCTGCCGATTCCTTACAGCTGAAAACGACAATATAAACGGTGAAACGCGTTCAAAAAAATTAAAAACACACTTACCATTTTTGGCATTTTCGTTGGCATAAACCCTTGAACCTCAACGATAACATGTTAAACCCGATGTCGGGTTCACCGTTAGCTATTGCTACTGTTTGTTCGCTCATGTTTTCCGGATTCGGGTTGTGTACGTCGTGGCCAAGTACAAATCTAACAGTGTCGAACCACCTGGCACGCGGACAATGAACGGTAAGCTGTCACGCGCTGGAAGAGCCAAGCACCCGTCACTACTGCAGGGTAGTAAAACGCAAGGCACCACGGGTGGACGATAGACTTGAGTTCGCGGCAGCGAGGATTCGACAAAACGGTGTCCTGACAGGTTGTTGTTGGACGCACGCGGCAAAATCACAAGGTACGGCACAGGGCGGTTTGCTTTGTCATTTTCGATACACAGTTAGATATACATTTTCTTATCAAGGTTCAGTTGTCCTGCCAGTCGTACCCACGCGCCGCGGCGAGAAAACGTGACCTAACCTAATTTAACTTTATATGTTAAATTTAAAATTAATTAAATTTAAAGTTAATTAAATGTTAAATTAACTTGAGTCCTTATAATTTTTCGGACAACTGCGGCAGTTGAACTGCCCCGAACGCACGTGCTTCCGACCACGGTCGACGCTCGCGATACCACCGATACCGTAATTCCGTGACCGCAGCTTACGTCGTGCACCGGTACCACGGGCCACGGATGTACATTTCATATCTACGGCCGTGGCAACATTGCGCGATATCGCCAGTTGACCGACGACATAATAGGATTTCGGCGATAACGGTGGTCGACCGGGGAGGTGGTCGGTTTATTTTTAATATCAATTTAACGGATTTCCGTCCAGCACTCGGAAAACACAGTTGTGCTTGCGTTATAATTTATTGTAATACGTAATACGTATCGCCAACCTCGTATAATTATTGGTCTAACGCGCGCGCATCGTTTTCGACGTCGGTGCCCGGGGAGTCGGTCGATTGTTATTATTTTCATTATTATTATTATTATTATTATTGTTGTAGAATTTTTATTAGTCTTGTCTATTCGTACAAACACGTCCTACACGCGGCCTCCACTTCGTTTGTAATTATTAAAATGTATTACTATTACTGCTAGTGCGTTATGCTATGAACACGGTGTGCAACCGTTCCAAAGCTTTTCAAGCCGGTGCCGTTCTTGTGTTGATACCGTCACCCACCAACATTTGGAGTGTCCGCGATGGCCAAATTCGTCGTAAGTGTCCAGAGACTCGTTTCTCTGTTCTGCCTCAAGCACCTGACTAGTGATTGCTAACCCTCGGTCTCTGAAAGTCTCTGCTTTTTGTGGTTGACTGTTTTTCGACGGTTCCCCACAGTTGTTTTAATGATAATAATATATTTTTCCCTGTTTTAAAAATCTCATCGATTCAATTTAATAATCACTCCTTTGTTATTCATATCCTATTTCGATGCCTATAGTTTTCATCAACTAAATGTATTATAGTATTAAATTCTTGTACTATTTGATTTAATCTTGAAAATTATGAAACCTTATACTCTGTTTATATTCAATACAAATATATACTTCAATGTTTTATCAATTTTTTTTCAATGTAAACAGCTATTAATCAAGTTATGTAGATGAAATGTATGCCTATTTATTTTAATACTTTTATAATGTAATCTGATTTAAATAATTTAAAATTACTTATTACATAGCCTTTTAAAACGATTCATAAACTTATCATCAAATGGGATTTCCCACATTATAGATAATGAATACAGTACAATTTATTTTAAAATATTTAATGGTTTTATATGTAAATTTGTCCTCAGTGAATAAGTGTTTAAATATTCAGCTAACGTAGTAAATTTTTTGATATTAGTAGAAGTTAAATTGTTTATGATAGTGAATTTTCTTAAAACAAAATTTCTTCTACAGTAATTCTGATGTATTCTATCCTTCAGGTCATTTACAGGAACATAATTAATTTTATACAAAAGTATTTGTAATTATTTGTCGGTGAAATTATATCCCATGAATAAATGTATTTTTTATGAAATGAATTCTTTATTGCTGTTGATGTGAAAATAAAATGCTAATTTTTGTGTTCAATAAGAACTAATTAAAAAAATATAACTTAAGTACTTAATTTTGAATTATTTATACTGAAATAAGGTTACTAGCTAGATTCAGATTTATCTGATTCAATAAAATTAAATAGACATGAGTGTCATAGATTTATAAAAAGTAATAAATAATATTTTAAAGAAAAATGTTAAGTTAAATAGTCAAATTTTTTTAATTAAGTATTATGTAACAATTCTGTTAATAATACTAATAATAATAATAATAACACAAAAATATAACATTATATACAATGTTATTTTAAATATGTTGAAATATATGTTTAGGTTGAATTTTCTCCACCAGAAAAAATTAAATTTGAACCAGATTGTGTTACTGATTCAGTTATCAATTATTGCATGGTATTAGCTCCATTCCAAAAACATACTCAAGTAGAATTTAACAATATTAAGTTAAAAGAAACGGCTGTTAGATTTTTAACACTTATTAATCCACTTGACAAACCTGGACAGGTTTGTTAATAATTTTAATTAAAAAAAAAATTAAAATTTTTTGTAAATTTGTTTCATAGTTTTATATATGTTTTAGTTTGTTTTACCCTCTCCAAGTGATGGTGTATATTTCAATGTTTATGAATTCACCTTAGAACCTAAGTCACAATGCGAGCTATCAATAACTTGGCAGCCCTCAAAATATGGAAATATGCGTAAATTAATTAAAATAGAACAAGTGGATAGCAATAAAAAATATGATTTTGTTATATTGGGAAATTGCAATGGGTCTCCTTTCAAAAAGTCTAAGGTAGTTAAATTTAATTTTATCTAATTAATAAAAATGCTGTTGAAACAAAAAAAAAAAATTTCAGGATACTATTACAACATATTCAAAACTCAAGAATTCTAATTTGACTAAAAAACAATTCAACTGTAGCCGAAATAAAGTATTACCAAAGAAAACTGTTGGCTATAAAACAGAAAAAATAACAGAATCTGTTAGTACAGAAATTAGTAGAAGACAAACTTATTTAGTTGGAGAAAAAGAAAATCTTCCAGTTGTAAATAAGAATGTATTGAGTCGAGATACCATTTTATCAAGTCCTGAACATAAGCCTAAACGTCCAAATCAGAGACGTCATGATTATATTTTCAATAATGATTTTAATTTAAATAAAAGTTCTAGTCCATTAAGTGATGATTCCTTAGAAAAGTCATTAAAGAAATGTACTTTTAATAATTCCCAATTTATTAATGACTTCTGTTTAACACCATTAAAATCTAATGAAAACTACAACTCTCCATACAATTCAACAAACAAATTTGATAGTTTTGATTGTACTGATGGGCCATTTGCTTTAACTTCAACAAATTCATTATCATTTAAATTAGAAGATTCATCATTTGTACTACCAGAGTACCCGAAATCAACAGATATATCCATGAATCTATGTAATAAATTTACAAAAGCTGAGAATGAATATATTAAAGAGAACATACAATTTGAATCAAGTACTATCCACTCTGAATCATTAGTATCATCTTCAGATGTTTATCAATCATCTGACTCCAGTCAAAAATCTACATGGACCACTTCAGGTGTTATTAATTTTAGTATATGTAATAAAATGGCATAATATTATGTACATTTTTTTATTAGTTTATTTTATATTATAGCGATTGTTTGGAGTGGTTCAAAATCAAAAAGACCATCATTTGCTATTAAAAACTCTCCTTATTACAAATATAATCCAAAAACATCAAAGATGTCTAAGAATAAATTGAAACAATGCAGTAAGTAAATCTTATACATTATGCTGTTACGGTTCAACAATTATGGGTGTGAATACTTACTTAAAATCCAATTTAGAAAATGATAGATTTATGTTATAGCCTATCCTTTGTTGATACTATCTTGTTGTATATTATATAAGTCATTCAATACCAAATATTCACTAAGGTACAAGTCCTAAAGAATCCCAGTTAAAAACTACAAAACTTGACAAGTATGATCAACATCTTAAAGATCTAGCTAATCCACTGCTATGGTATCACCAAAAAGCTAAAGATCCATTTTTGAATATGTAAGTTAAATTATTAATGTATTAAATTAAGTTTAGCCATATAACATTAGGTTAGTTATTGTATTAATTAATAGTTTATAAGCTTAATATCTCTAACCTTATTTAAAATTTAAATAACTATTACTAAGTTTAGCTAAAAAGGATAAGCACTTTTTAAATTTAATTTATATTAAAAATAAAAAAACCTAGTAATTTTATATAAATTCATATAACAATTTTTCATTTATAATTATGGATTATGAGTTATTAATACTCTTAAGTTATAGTATCTTATTGTTACTATTATTGAATCATTTGTAATGTTCATATTTTAATAGGTCACAATATTATGAAGCAGAATGGTTGAACCGCCAAGAATCTGATATGATTCGATGGTTAAATACTTTGCTTACACCAACTGATAAGTTGGCTGATGAAGAACATTCAAACGACTTAGAGGAAGCAGCTATGGCTTGGATAGAAGCATCCAAAACATCTCATAAAAATAAACCAATGCAATTGGCTACTGAGAAAGATCTGTTTGTAGCACAAATTTACAGAAATTCACCACAACAGTGGAGTGCATTGCGCAAAGCCACTACAAATCTCATTACATCTACAAGTGTTACATCAGTCCTATCTAAATTGACTATTTCAATTGAAAAGGATCTTATAACTGTTCGGGATGATCGTCAGATACATTTGGACTTAAGTAATAATTATTTATTTTTAAATCAATTTTAAACTCCTGTAATTTAGTTAAATAATTATTTTATTATTAGGCTTAAAGAAAAAAGTTATTGATCTATTCAAATGTTACAATCCACTATGGTTTCGAATAGGCTTGGAAGCTATATATGGTCAAATTATTAAAGTAAAACCTGGTTCTAATGATTTAGATGGTATTGGCTGGTTTGTCCGTAAAAATCTGTTTAATAGCGATTATGTTAAACAACAATTTACCAAAACCACTGTACTTCAAGTGAATCTGCCTTCATATAATGTAAGAAAAAATTTTGTCTTATGAACTCTGCCATGCTAAAATTGTATGTCCACTGAAAAACTAAATTTTTATTATATAAGCCAAATAATTTTATGCAATAAATGATTATCTCATATTCTTTTCCATACCAAAAAGTAATCAAATACTAAATTAATAGAAATATTTTGTTCTATTTTTGTAATTTTCTATATCATAAGTAAAATTTAAATTAAAGGTAGCATATTTATTTTGCTATTGCTTCGTTACTAGTTAAACTTTTGAAGTAAGATCATTTCATTAGTTTATGATATTCTACTACTTTATGTACAACAGTACATTTACTTTAAATATAATTACCTCTATAAGCTATAAATTAATTATAATTAATCTGTAATATTTATTATTAATCCATAAAACTTAAAATACATTTATGGTAATGACAATTTTTTTTGTTTTGGTGTCATCTTTATATGCATAATATAAGCAAAATCTTAAATTTCTTATTGATCAGTACATTTCTATCTATATCCAAAATCAGATTAATTTTATTAATATTTTTATAGTCGTTCAATTTAAAAATTTATCTCATAGTGATTGGCTATATTTTAGCCAATAATTAAGACAATAGTTTTGTTAACCATTATAAATAATTAATTTTTTTCTTTTTGGTATTACTTTTAATTTCACGAGAAGTAATTTTTTTCCTAATACTAAACTTTAAAACAACTAACTATTTCATATCATTTTAGCAATTCTCTTGGCCTATGACTTTTTTTTGATCTTAAAAATTTAGCAATTATATTATAATTTTTACTTATTATTATGGTAAAACTTCAAATATTGTAATTTTATTTTTTTATTAATTTTATACAGACAGCTATGAAAAAATTTATTTTAAGAAAAATACTTATGCTCATATATTTTTTGGACCGTGCTAAAGAACAACAATTAATTAGACATAACCCATGCTTGTTCAGAACTAACTCTCTGTATAAAGTAAGTAATGTAAAAAAAGTACATAAAATTTCTTTAACAAAAACTGTATTAATATATGTTTCAATTCATAGAGTAGCTATGACTTACTGATGGGATTTTGTGCGGATATGGTCACTGCCCATGGAGATATAATTCGTCGTCTACGAAATATTGGATACAATTTAAACCACAAACAATTGCATTTAGACGAAGTGAACTATGCTGTCAAGTCTTTAAATGATTTGAGGGACGGTACCAGAATTACCAGAGTAGTAGAAATTTTATTTAAAGGTAATCCACTATCACAAAAACTAAGACTTCCAGCTATATCAAAATTACAAAAAATCCATAATGTGAATTTAGCCTTCACCCGAATATCACAACACATATCTATTGAAGGCAATATAAGTACTCGAGACATTGTAAATGGACATAGAGAGAAAATACTATCATTATTCTGGCAGATCATCTACAAATATTTGACTCCTCGATTCAATAATGCTGCCACAAAAATTCAAAACTGGTGGAGAAACAGCAGTCTTAAACTGGTTATATTAAAAAGAATCCGAGCAAAACAGATTGCTAAACGTCATTTTGCTGCTACTAAAATACAAGCATGTGTTCGTGGCTATTTAATTAGAAACCAATGGCCTCATTTGGAAGCTGAATTGATTAAAAATCGTGAAATGTTGCACATGGCTTCCAATACAATCAAACTTTATCTAAAAAACAAACTTATGCTCTTAACTGATGAAAGAAAACGCTTTATAATTTTGAAAAAAACTGTTGTTAATATTCAACGAAAATTTAGAACAAAGATGGCTATGGTTAAGGAACGAAAAAAGTATTTAAAAGCCAAACAGTCAGTAATAATAATTCAAAAAGTTTTCCGTGGTTATATTATAAGAAAAAATTTGCTTCAAATTAAGAAAAATTTGTCAGCAGAAAAATTAAAAAGAATTATTGCAATCAATATTATTAAACGTGCATTAAGAAAAAACTTACCACTGACTGATGACCGTCATAAATTTTTGAAATTGAAACAAACAGTATTATACATTGAAAATTTGTATATAGCTAATAAATTAATGAAATTAGAAATGGAACATTATACCATTTTAAAAAACAGTGTTGTATTCATCCAACAAAAATTTAAAGCTAATATCATAATGAAAAGAGAACGAAGAAATTATTTAAAAACCAAAGAGTCTATTATATTAATTCAAAAAATATTTCGTGGTTTTATGGTTAAGAAATATTGGTCAGTTATGCAAGTTCAATTGTTGTCAAAAAAAAAATAAACGAATTAACGCTGTTAATGTAATCAAACGAGTTTTAAGGCAGAATTTACCAATAACTACAGATCGTCTTGAATTTTTGAAATTAAAATATACCGTGTTGTTTGTTGAAAAACTTTATATAGCCAATAAATCCATGAAAATGCAAATGGAGCATTTTATTGCCCTTAAGAAAATGACAATATTTATCCAACAAAAATTTAGAGCTAATATTGCAATGAAAAAAACACAAAACAATTATTTGAAAATCAAACGGTCTACTATTTTAATTCAAAAAATATTTCGTGGTTATATGATAAGAAAATATTGGTCAGTTATGCGATTTAATTTATTATGCGAAAAAAAAAAGCGAACCAATGCCATAAACATAATAATACGAACATTAAGAAAAAATCTACCAAAAACTCAAATTCAAATCAATTTCATCAAGTTAAAAGTTGCTGTGTTATTCATTCAACGAATGTGGAGAGCTAATTGTTTGATGAAAATACAACAGAAACAATATACAAATTTACGATATGCCGTCATATTTATACAAAGAAAGTATAGAGCTAAAATCAAGATGCGTACAGATCGTCATAAATATTTGAAAATCCAACAATCTTTATTGTTGATTCAAAGAGTATATCGTGGTTTTCTTGTTAGAAAGAACTGGATGAATGTTAAAACCCATCTTATCATGATTAAAACTATGCGTATTAAGTCAGTAAACATTGTCAAACACTTCATACGAAAAAAATTACCACCTACTCAGGATGAATTATATTATAATAAATTAAAACATTCAACATTAATCATTCAAAAACGGTACAGAGCTAATGTTGCTATGAAAAAACAGAGAGAAGAATTTCAAATGTTAAAAAATAGTGCTATCATCTTACAACAAAGGTTCCGAGCAAAGCAAGCAATGGACACTGCATGGAAGCGATACACAAAACTTAAGATCTGTACGATACAACTTCAAAGTGCGATCAGAGGTTACTTGGCACGAAAACAGTGGCCTGAACTTCGGAATCAACTACAAATTTATCGAACACATTTGTTCCGTTGTGCCATGATAATTCAAAAAGCTCTACGGAAGAATTTGCCAATAACAAAAGAACGTATTCAATTTTTGGAACTTAAAATGTCAGTCATAGTTATTCAAAGAAGATTCCGTGCTAATAATAAATCAAAAAATCAGAGAATTGAATTCCTACGATTAAAATCTGCAATTATTATGTTACAAAGCTTTGCCAGAGGGTATTTATTTCGGCATCAAACATGGCCAACATTTCGTAATAGTTTGTTAGAAACCCGTTCTCGGTTGGAATTATGCAGTAATATAATAAAAAGATGCTTACGGCTGCGTTTGCCAATGACGGAAGATCGTAAAATATTTATCAAATTAAAAGCAGCAACAATAGTGATCCAGAGGAGATATCGGGCTAATCAAGCGATGAGATATCAAAGTTATAAATATATTAAAATTAGAATGGTAACAATCATGTTGCAAAGTTTTGCAAGAGGTTATCTGTATAGGAAAATAAACTGGCCAGCACAAAAAGCTGAACTAGTTGTTCATCGGCAATATTTAATCCAATGTGCTAATACAATTAAGAGGATGCTAAGAAAACATGTGGTCAACAATGACCGTCAACAATATTTGGAGCTCCGAAATGCTGCAGTTATAATTCAACGTAGATTCCGAACCTACCTCCAAGCCCTTAAGTATCGTAAGTTATGTGCTGCTGTCTTGAGGGTTCAGCAAAGATTCCGGGCAAATGTTGCTGCAAAACTACAATGGATAGAATACAACTATACTAGGTCAATGATAATCTTATTACAGGCTTATGCCAGAGGATACCTGGTACGATGCCAATGGCCCAAAACAAGGCATGCACTTTTAAACCATAGAAATCAACTGACAACAGCTAGTAACACTGTAAAGAGGTTCTTAAGACAATGCTTACCAACTACACCTGAACGTTCATATTACCTAAAACTTCGGTGGGCTGCAATTGTAGTACAGACGCGGTATAGAGCTATGGTGTTAGCAAGACTTGTACGGGCTAAATATCTTCAAATACGGCAATGTGCAATCATCATTCAAAGGTATTACCGAGCACATCGAACCATTCATGCAGCAATTGTGTTGCAGACTCATATCAGAGGTTACTTGGCTCGTAAACAATGGCCACAACTCAAGGACCGCTTGGTAACTGAACGGAAATTCGCGGTTGAAACCATGTGGGTTAGTGTCCCTTTTTTGTTTGTTAAGTTTGTTAATACTATTATAATTATTCATCATTAACACTTTATAGGGCAATATAGTAATTGTAAGATAATTAATTAATTTTTAGGTAAATCACAATGCTGCATCTATGATACAAGCAGCTGTCAGAGGATTTTTAGCTCGTAAAAAATTTCCGGAACTTAAGGATCAATTACAGACAGAAAAACAAGTGCATGCTGCCATATTAATACAAGTATTTTATCCACATTTTCAAATTTTAGCATTGCAAGTAATGAAATTCTAAATTTGATTTGAATTTTTAAGACATTTTGGAGAGGTTATTACATACGAAAAAAGTATAAATGCCGACAACAAACCATAAGAATACCAAAAAAAGATGCTCTGACATTGGCCAAACGACATAATGATGTTGTGGAAGTGTTAAACAAGCAAAAAAAAAATGAATACTCCTATAAAGAACTAGTTACGGTCTTCTGGAACTTGGGTAGGTTATTATGAATAAAATAATTAGTTTATGCCCCCAAATAAGGTTTAGAATAGGTATTTTGATTGTGTTCATGTATATAATTTATAATTATTTATATTTCCTTTGTTTCAGACACGTGTACATCTTTATCTAAAGAGTTATGTATAAAAACTGCTGAAGGAAATATAGTGGATTATATTTTTCATTTCCTACAGTATTCTAATCAATCACAACCTAGCACCGAGGCACGTGAACCAGCAATCCGTGTACTCATCAACCTGCTTAGGTACCATGAAACATCATGGATTATTTGGACTGTAAATATTTTACTCCATTAATTTTTTTTTTTTTAAAAACATTTTTCATATACAATTGATTATTTCAGAGAGTTATAAATGCTAATATGTTCAAAGAACTGATTAAAATTATGAAATCGTGCTGTGGTAAATTCGGTGTTGCTAAAAAACTGTATTGTTCAATTGCTACCTGGATATGGATAGCTCTACAAGATCCCAATAAAAAATTAGTAAGTTTATATTGATTCTGGTAGCATGTTCACAACTCAACTATGTGGAAAAATATATTCATGACTATAAAAATGACAACCAATTTTTTTTTTTTTATCAATTGATGTTGCTATACAACCTAGCTAAGTTATATAGTAAATTGGTATAAATATATATATATATATATATATCTCGCTAGAATTATTTTATTTTATGTATAGAAAAATTAAAGTAATCCTTTTAATTATTATTATCAATTGCTTATTATTTTCCAGCTTGTATTGGATATATAATTAATAAGAATAATTATTTAAAAGTGGGATTTTTTTGTAAGTTTATAAAAATTCAAATTATTTACTTCATATTCATTTATGTCTATATTTTTTTTAGTATTTGAAATGCAAATATAATGTTGTATAAGGTGCAAATTCACAGCATCATAATTGTATTATTTTATTATTTTCTCAATGTGTATTTAATTTGGAGACAGTGCCAATTAAAATATAATTTTAAAAAAACATAATTTTATATTAATACTTGTAGGCCTTTATTTTATATACTAATTATAAGTTTTATTTTATTTAGTTTATCAAAAACTTTTCAATTGCTATTGTTGACTTGAAGTTTATGAAAGATTTGCTAAATCGAAGATACAAATCACACAAAGTGGACAAAAAAGTAATGATTTTACCATCAACACGTCCCACATGGTTCATTGGTTCCAAGTGCCAAAAATGTTTTGAATCTGATGTTTATGCCATAAATCAAGTCTGCAAAATGTTATAAAAATGAAAAAGTTTTACAAATATCAAAAAATAATTGCAACTATATATATTTTTATTTACTTTTAATAATTATTATGTTTAAAATCTTTTATTATTATTAACTGTTGATATTTTTTGATTTTTTTTTTTTTACAATACCATTTATATGTCATTTTTACTCCTGGAAGTCATTCTTTTTTTTAATACACTAATTTATTTATATCATTTGAATAGCATTTTAAATTCTGTGATTTATTTCAATTGTATTACTATCAATGAGGATCCTAATAAAATGAAAAGAAATGTGTCTTAAACTCATAATTATAAGTTTGTAAATGTAATTCATATTTGAAACAGCATTGTTATTTTATATTCCTTGGAACTGTATTAATTTTTATAATTTTTATACTTTCTTATATCTTATATTCAACACGAATAAATGGATATAAACGAATAATGTACCTTTTAAATCAATATACTCCTTGTATACAATTGTTTAAATTAATTAATATTTGCTCATAAAAATATGTCTACATTCAGACGTGTTTTAATGATATTAATGTTATGTAGTTTCAGTATCAACAATTTTAAAAAATTATTTATTAGAGTAGTAACTTTAAATGAATTTTGTCCGTTGTAGACTATATAATTTTAATGATGAATTTGGGGATTTCAGTTTACAGTATTTTATTGGTATATATTCTAGTGAAAAGAGACAAATAAAATACTCGCATTGAAATGTTGAATTAACATTCAATCAATATTGTTGAAAGTGTACCAATTTATGTTCAATTTTTCATTGGAAATATTAAAAACTTAATTCAACTTGTAATTTTGAGTGTATAGTTTACTGATATTAAAAACCGTTTTATATAAATCTGTTCGAAAGTGAAACTGCAAAGTACGGCAGAAGAAAAGATACTGCTGTGAACATAAACGTTATGTATATTGTTCTGTTTACTTATATTAGCAGTTTAACTGTTTAAAAAACAGTCAATGCATTTTAAATTAATTTCAATAATTTGTAAACTATCTGAACACATAATTTGAAAGAATTATTCGTGTTAAGTTAACCATGTATAACAAAAACACGGAATACACAAGTAGCCTCATGTAACTTAATTGGTTTTAAGATTTATGTTCAATTAACTTTTAGTTACTATTTAGACCACTAGGCACAAAAGATTTTGACCAACACAAGTGCGCCATCTATCGATGGTTTTTTACACCGTTCGGCGCAATCATTTGGAGTGCATACGTATTTGCTTGTTAAAATCCTTCAAAGGTAGGGATCCCAAACGTCACGTATTTTACCGTATTGTCCCATATTTGAATAAAATGTACCGACACAATTATATAAATAACATTTTTGTCCCGTGTTTTGTATTATCCATTTTGTATGTACCTTATTTTAAAAATTAAACTCTTTAATATCATTAAGCTTTTTTCAATTTTATATTCTTTTATTTTATATTTAAATGATAATTAATATTTGATTATAAAAAAAAAAAAAAAAATAGGAAAGTCACCTTATTATTTGTTTTTAATTTTAATTATAATTTATATTTGTTTGGAGTATCAAATATTGTGTTTATTTTATAGTATATTTAGTAGCTGTGAGGAAAAAGAAATATTACATCAAGGCAAAGTGTAATTTTAATTCCCAAATGTTTATAAATAATTTGTACAACAAATAACACATATTTAATTTTGTAATATATTAATTGCTAACATAAGTCCCTTCACCCTCCCCAAATTAACACCAATGTGAATTTCAAAAATAGGTATGATTTAAAATGTCCCGTATTTTTAAAAATAAATCTGGGATCCCTATTCAAAGGGCCAATTAATTTTGGAATTATGGTTCTTGTTCAGTTGATTCAACTCTTTAATACTCATCACATGTCACACTAAGAAAAAATTGAAATTAAAACTGGTCCACGTTAATTTCATTAATTTTACAATTTACCCATCACATTTAAAATTTGTAAATACATGAAATTTTTCAAATCATACCAAAAAACATTGTCAACAATTTGAATGCATTAATTTACAACAGAAAAAGAACTTCTTTCTATACAAATTGTACAGACATCAGAAGATGTTTCGACTGACCCAAAGATGACAATCTTAAGTGTGTAAACGGTCGCAGTATTTAGATGTAAAAATAATAGTAAAATTTAAAAATGTGTGATTACACACTACATGAAAAACATGTTTAATAATTTATTATAAATTTTAAATCTGTTTTACTTATCAAACATCTGAGAAAATAATGAATACAGTTACAATTATACACATATCTAAATATATTTAACTGCATTAAAACCAAAGCTTATTACATAGACTATTTGAGTAAATAACATCAATAACTTCCAAACAACAGTTTTATAACAAAAATTAAAAAAAAAAAAAATAATAAAAACAATAATACTACGATACTTTATAAAAATAAAATAATTTCGGTATATTTTGATAAAATATAACTATAATTAATATATTACTGCTTTCATAAATTCAAAAAACCCCTTATATAAGTAATGAAATAATACCCAGCCTGACTGCAAGAAAGGGAAAGGTTTAATTAGGAATAAAATACATAGATCTAATGATAATTTACTTTGTTCAAAAACCATCTTCATAACCCATTGTCATGGTCCATAGTAGAGGAGAACTGTTGTCAATGGTGACAAATGGCTGTCCGTTATATGTGTTACTGCTACTTGTAAGTCCTCCCATTTCCATGGTTTTTTCGACTGAAACAAAATATTAAGCTTGTCAGTAAGAATAATGATATCGTTACCATAGACTAACACTATTGGTTCACAACCAATATAATCCTAACAGAATGGTCACACAAGGCCTTAGAAGTAATCTTCACCAATAACATTTTACTCAAATAATAGTTATCAATATAATTTTTTGTCCTAAAAAACCTATGTAAACAACCACATTCAAACAATCATTATTATTAACTAATACTTTGTAGATAATTACTATTGGTTTTTTTTTTTTATTTTTATTACTAAGAGTTAGAAAACGGTGTAGATTAATTCAGTTATACAGCAGTTTTTTAATAAGACATAATATTTAATCAACTACATTGAAGTTTTTATAGCCTTGCTTGTTTGAATAATTAAATATATTTTTCTTTACCTTATAAATAAAATTAAACGTAGACTGTAATTATTCTAATAAATACAATTTGAAAATATCCTACGTCAAATCAAGGTAATAATGCATAACAACAATGTAGTAGCAACTAGGACATTTGTAATACTCGGATTTTGAGAATATTATGTAATAGTAAAAATCTTGAGAACCAAAATCTTAACTAGTATTAATTGTATTTATTTGAATTAGCTCAAAGGCAATGATAAATTATTGCACTCAAAAAATGGTTCTCGGCAAAGAGTGATGGTAATGTGTATTGAATTGGTATGGTAAAATTGGTAGATTATTTAAAACAAGATCAAATAAATTTGCATAAAGGTAAGTACATAAAATATTCAAACCATTTGTGTATTACTCCATATATACTCCGAAATAAGTGAAAACAGAAAGAAAAGTGCATAATTTTAAAACACAATTATATTAATTTTTTTACTCTAAATTTAAAATAATGAAAAAATATTGAAAGCTTCACAAAACCTAATACTATACAAGAAAATTGTAATTAGCCAAATTCAGTAGCTAATACAACTCACATATATTCCATTTCAATCCTGTGGTTGTACATTTATAACACGGTGAGCCTAATGGAAAGAAACCTATGTAATTCTTTTCTGGATTTATCCTGAGGACTTGAGGAATATGGATACGGTTAGAGCCGGACTGAAGCAACCAGGTTAATGAATTTCTTCCCAGCAAATAGATGTCTCCATCGAAATAATAGTCCTTTGATTTATACAATGTATTTATATTTGACAAGAAATGATCAACTCTATTGCACATGTTGGCCATAACAATTACTGAGTTGATGGATTTATTCATTTCTAAACAGTAAATAAAAACAATTAGTAAGAAAAGCAAAAGATTATAAACTAGAAAAATTACTTGTAGAGTACTTCTGAATTTCTCTGAGTGCTTTGGCAAAGTCTGTTTCGTCCTGGTTAGGCGTATAAACAATTTGCGAGCCCAGCAACACAAATTCATCAATAATAGAGCGATCAGCCGAATCCAAATCGCCGGTAATAAGGTCGGGAAATTTGAGCTTGTCGTACGCGTTTTGCTTGATAAAATTGTACCATTTGTTAGTGCCACCGTCAACGGTCAATCGGAGCAGAGCTGTTAAAAAAAACTAGGTTAAGCGTGTTCGAGAATCGACTGGGAGCAAAGAAATGGCAGTTATGTCACTTACCATCGTTCCACAAGCGACGGACCAACTGAGGCGGGTTTTCGATGTTTGTGTTGAGCACGACCACGGCGGTACGGTCCAGACACATATCCTCCAAGGACGGCCACCAGTCTCTAGTCTTGGGTTCGGTAACCATGGTTAGGAGTCAGAAGGGTTCAAAACTAGTAGTGGTAGACCGTTTCAACACTGTTTGAGTGCACTGTGCTCTGTCTTATTGCGTGCGAACGGCCAAATACTAACCTCGTACGCGACGACGATTTATCGCGATCGAACGACGGGGGCACAATGCTACACGACGACAACGGAATACGAGCTCCGGGCAACGGCGTGCAACTGTCTCGTGTCACGTGCATGTCGTCAACCGGTCGACTACCGCCGTCGCCACCACCGCCGACGACAACCTCCATCTGTCGACCATGTCGTGCCTGCCGCTCAAATGGATATCCGAATGCCGGAGCGCGACGAATAGGAAAAAAAATAAACCGGTAACCACTCGCCGCACGCGCACCGCAATATATTTAATGATCTCCGTAATTATATTAATCGTTGTGATTGCGTACTTACGGTGATTACTCTCGAATCGTGAATAACTCGTTATTGTACTCCGAACAATAATTGCAATACCATGCACATCGAAACGTGCAGCACCGTTATCAACGGTAGTTATTCGGCCAGCGATAAGCGCCTCGGCCAGCTGCTGCACGATGGCGTACGATTGGAGCGCGTCGTGAACAGCTCTACGTAACGCGACAGGCGCGCGGATTCGAGGCAACCGCCGCGGTACCAGCTGACGGCTTTAAAAATAATAATATTATCGAAACCGTTAAATTTTCAAAGTATACATAGTTATAACTTTTCTATCTCAAAAAACTGTCGTTATTTGTAACTAAATAATCAAAATACAAGTGTTTGATAGAAACATAACATTTTATTTCACAAATTTATAATTAAACATATTTTTAAACATAATTTTTGTAATTACAATAACTGAAGACGTCTGGGGCAGTGGCGTAACCAGGGGGGGCTAAGGGGGCTATAGCCTCCCCCATGGGCCGTGTTTATATGTAAAATGTATCTTGATTATTTAATAGAATCAATGCTCGTTTTAATCAAAGGCTTATTGATGTTATGCCACTTGAACGACTTATTCCGGCCAATTTAAATATGTATGACGATAAAAATATTATAAAAGCTGCTAAAATATATGTCCAAGATCTCCATGATGATACCTCGTCTACAATCAGGGCTGACCTGTTCATATGGAGGCAACAATGGAGTCAAAATACTATTCCAAAACCGAATTCTGCTCTTGATTCACTCTCTCATCGCACCAATCTTCGACCTAACATTAAAATACTTTTACAATTATTCGCCACGTTACCAGTTACCTTTTTCACTCCGGAAAGAACGTTTTCAGCACTTAATCGCTTAAAATTTTTTTTAAGAAGCACCATGTTGGAAAACAGACTGATTGGATTAGCTATGGCTAATATAAATAAAAAAGAGCAATTCCATGAAAGTGAAATAATAACTGAATTTACCAGAAATTCGCCTAAGAGAATGCAGCTGGTTGAGTGGAGCAAGTGACTGAACACTGAAACCAAAATTATTATTATTATTATAAATTATATATTAATAAATATTTTTAAAACTATACTAAAATGCGTTTAGAAACTTGGTGGTAGATGGTGGGGGGGGGTTAAGGGAGAATTCTCATATCCTCTCTTACCTTACTTATCCAAAAAAAGTGGTTAGCCCCCCCCCCATTTAAAAATCCTGGCTACGCCACTGGTCTGGGATGGTTATTAGTATATGCATCAACTACTTTTACTTCTTCAGGTTTTATAATTATTTCAGGGTGTTGCAATGCTAATCCGTTCAATCGATGGTAATATAATATTATGATATACTGATATTTCAGTATTTCAACGTGTACCCGTGCGTGAAAAACAAGAGGACTTATAATAATAAATAAAGTATAAAATACAGTGAATGGGGGAAGCACGGGCCCTATAAGCCCCCCTTAAATACGCCCCTGCTCATCTCCTATTACCAAAGTAAATAAATAAATATTCAACAATATTTTCTACAAATTCAAATCATGTTATAATTTTTTGTTGCTAAACATTTTCTTAGTTATGTTCATAATGCATTAATTTTTTTTTTGTTAAATATATTTATTAATAAATTCATATTTATTTCTGAAAAATTTAACTGAACGAGTGTTAAAATCAGTTTGGGATATGCGTAATACCCCCAAACTCCACTCTTGGTTCAAGTGGCGCACACAGGGGAGGGAATTATAAACTCCAGCAAAATGCCTTCATTAAATTTTAACCTCACCTAAGTTTTATAAATATAAATAGTATTTACTGTTTTTGTGCGACGTCCAACAATATTTTTGTATAGGTTTAACATTAATACAACATTAATTATTATAGTAAATTATTAATAGCAACAATTATTAATATCGTAGACGCCGCGCACCGACGATTAGGCCCAAATTAGGGTGGGACTCTAACCCCCTAATGTCAATTCAGCTCCAAATTTATTACCATTTTACATCATGTAAATAAAATTTTTTAAATTATTGTAATTTTTTTAATTTAATTAAGCTTTTATCTTGTAACATTACAGGCTGTAATTTATAACTCTTGGTGATTACAACTAATAATAATAATTTAATGATTATTTTGGATCATTAAAAGGTATGGAAACAAAGCCTCAACTAATAAGTTTTGGTTAAGAATGGTAAAGCTGAAACTTCCCCCATTGAAATTCCCTATTTGTGTCTATGCCGTCGAGCAAACGCTGCACACAAAATAATCTATAAATGTATATGTCATTTTTTTAAATTGTAAATTAATTTTACGATAGCAAAGTTATTCTAAAGATTATAATTTTGTTATAATGGTGATCTGTTTTTTAGATTTTCAACATTCCTCAATGGGCCCTCTAGAATCATGGGTCCATGGTCGCTATTGCTCGTCATGCCACCCTATTGGCACACCACTGGTTCGTGGAACAGTAGGCAAGGAATACGGATGTTTAGTACACCCAGATGCAATCTTGTTCTCGACAGTAGTTTTCGTAAAAACTTCATCCTCTCCAGCGCATGAGTGGCGTAAAAATAAAAATTAATTAATACTTTAAAACCGCGTAAAAGATCCCCACACACTGCCGCGGTGGCGATGGTGATGGCAATTTTTATACAATATAAACATAATATATTAATCTTTTACATAAAATAATTCTATAGTTAATTAATAAATTCCTATGTCAATGATAAATTGACGATTTATCTATACAGTTCGTTAGTAATATAATATTACTATATAATATACACTAATATACACCATATATATATATTAGATAGTATAGGTACTATTAACGTATATTTGATAAGTCAATTGCAGTGGCGAAGCACGAGTATTAAGTTGAGGAGACATTAAAATATCACGTTACAGACCCCCCCCATTTATAACTTTATATGTATTTATGATAAAAGAGACACGGTCTTTTATTTTTTATTTCATATTTTTTTTTTCGTATGAGTAGTTTGCTATTCCATCATTCAATATTTCATTAATTAAATCATCAGGCATAGTGGCGAATGACAATAGTTCAATATTTTAATATTTAGGTACGAATATCACACCAGAAATAAATAAATCGTAAAATGAAAATCAATCAATAACTACGATAACAAAATTGCGTTGAACGATAACGCATCAATGCGAAAAGCAATGACGATTACAATAATGTACCTAATGAAATAATAAATACGAACGCGAGACATGTCTCATAACGCAATGATAATCCCCACTCAATAACCTATTCCCCCTACACAGCGTGCCTTTAAAAACGTGACGCTGCAACGCGTCGTCTCATAATATTAATTTTTATATCTGTATTTAGATGTTTATTGAATTAACCACTACACCACAACGAACGACAGCTCGCGTGCACGGTCCGCAACTAATCTATTTTAAGAATACTAATTACATAATAATACTAATACGGTATGATACAAAAGTAAAACTATGATAAATAATGAAGTATATATTATATAAAAATAAATAATATATAATAAAACCAAATTATGTATTCGTATTAAAAATAGGTAGACATTGTCTCATTGTCTCCTATAACGTTTCGCCACTGGTCAATTGAAAATACCGCTGTGCGGTGGCAGTGAAATCGAGCATGCTGCGGTTTTTATAAATATCGCAGAGGCAATATTTTACCGCGGCCGAATTACCGCTGCAGTGTGCGGACTCCCATTACAATACGTGTGTACAAATTTAACGCCACCGTGGCAGTGTGTGGGGACCTTTAAGAAGGCTCGTAACGAAATATGTAATTGTGGATAGTTTGTTGTGAATAAATAATATTAGTGAACAAAGGCGATCCCTCAAATGAAGAGACCTTAGTACCACCGCCGGAAATTACGATTTTTTCGTTGTCTTTCCAGCGTTCACGACCGAAAACGCGTACCCGTGATTTTTCAAACAACTGTGTCCCACCTTGAACGTGTAAGACCTAGCCGAAGCGTACATAATATTGTTGACAGGTGGCAAACAGACATCGATTTGGGTTTATTCAACAAACGTTTTCGAAGACTCCCTTTCTGCCAGTGACAAGGGTCTATTCATGGAGAAGGGGAGTGATAAATTTAGGTAATAATTATTTTTATTATTAACTATTTATTTACTAGAATCTTTAATATTAATAAATAATAAACATTTTTAAGACTATAATGAATAGTGCTGTTAATCGTAAAAGTACACCTTAAATACTAGTATACTACTTAATACTTCAATATTATTTATACATAGGCTATATGTTTAAATTAATGTTAGTATTAGACATTATTATTAATCAATAATAAGTATAAATTAACAAACTTTTAAAAAATGATGTATAAATATAATATAGTAAAATATTTTACACGTGTGACAAGTCACCGTAAATTGTAATTGTTGTGAACCTTCATAACAGTTTTAATATGTATTTAAATTTATATTAGTAGACATAAAATTGTTATTTGGCAAGTATGTCATATCACGTATACTATACAATAAATTAAGGAATATTTTGTTTGATGTTAAATATAATAATATAAGGCATAATTAAATAGGTTAGGTTTGATTAAGTAGTTCACCAGTTATTCATACTAATAAATAATAATAATTACCTTAGGATTCATTTACCAACTCATCACTCTCCAACATAACATAACAATAACATTTACTTTATATTTGAGTATTGGGCCCCGGGCACCTAATGAAGTAGTTATTAGTACATAACATTATTATGTAATTTTTTTTACCAGGATTATTTATGAATTCAAATTTTAAGATTATTATCATTAAAATAAATTGACAATATAAATTTGTATTTTATTTTTTTGTACCTTCGTCGCACGTCGGTTTATTATTTCCTTTAACTACAATATAACAACCCTTCATTTTTATATCAAAATAACAAATCAACAAATAACATATTAAACTCAACATGAGTTGAAATGAAATCTTATACTAGCACTTCCAAATTCCATTTCAATCAATAAGATCAAAGAATACGATAGAAATAAGATTAATAATACGAGAAAATAATACGCATAAATACCATATAATAAACTTATTTGTAAACACACTAATTTATATTCTGTTG